AAATTTTCGAATATCAAAATCGTGCAAAGAATCTTCAGATAATTGTTATAAAAACGCTAAAAATCAGACAATTTACTATTTATCTTGACCATCTCTATTCGCACGACATTGACTTCCAACCCCGTGAAGAATATGTACTCTGAGACGTAATAAAAACAGAACAAATTTCAACTTGAGATACTTCAGACTTTTGTTTTTATTACAGTTTAAAAAAACGTTTTTTATAAAAATCTGTTCTACAGCTTATAGAGTTCCTACGGTTCTCAACTGGTCCTTATGTTATAGACAAGGTGTAGTAGTTTCATGATGATGAAACATGCTTATCTTTCGGCAATTAAAAAAATAATAAAGATAATATCTAAATTTTAATTGGTAAAAATCTGCAATGCAATGAAGATAAACGTGTAGGTTGAACAAATTCTGCAATTATTGATAATAAATGAAGGCATTTCATAGCTTACTTGGGTAGGAGTGATCTTGCATATTAAAAAATCGCCAGTGGTTAATCATAAATATTAACACGTACGGTATGCTCAGGAGTTCCAAAAATTTGATAAAAATATGTTTACAGTATGAGATTACGGTTGTTAAAATATGTATATACCTATGTACCATCTGACAAATGTTCAGTAAATGGAACGATTGTTGAACTGTTTTCATTATAAAAGTTTATAACATTTTGCAATAAAATAACATCCCTTTATCTGTCTCCTTAAAAACAAAAACTTGTTAAACATAAATCTTCCCTCGTTCAGGATGTCTCAATATTCCGTGGAAATCGAGGTGTTGTGTATTTTCAAGCTCAAAATAAGTCGATTGGTCATGATTTACCTCAACTCAAAAGTGCTTCGTTTCTCCGTTAGAGGATGGCAAACTTTTCTTTTTGAAACATTTTTTCAGCTATTTTTGTAACCAATAATCTGAAGTGGATAAAATTTGCAACATATGTGTTTTGCTGGACATCCGAATATTTAACTTTTACAATAAAATATAAATTATAGCAGTATTTATTCGCGACTCTCCCAGTGATTTTTTTATTTAAAATATCCTTTTATCTACTTCATTTTTGTCTTTTATAAAAACAGGCCATCTCGCATAGTTTTCACAAGACAAAAAGCTGATGATTTTTAGAAATTTTCTTATTATACCAAGTATTAATATGTACTAGTCAGCTAGTTGACACAAATGTCAGATTATTTTTGACAACAAGTTTCAATAAATTTAAACTAATAATAATAGTATGTTGTTTGTACTGCAAAAATTTTAAATTTTATCTAACGTGTGAGATTATTTTTGGTTAAGTTGTTGTTGTGATTTTTCTCGTGAATATGAAATATTATTTTGACGGACAGACTGATATGTTGTTAGTACTTGGTTTCTGCGAAGGTAATTACAGAAAAAGTGTTCATGTATCAAGAGATATATTCGATTCGAAGGATTCTTCTTTTGCATGCATAGAACCCCGACTTCGAGAAATTGGTCAGTTCCAACCTCGAAAAGTTAACGCTGGAAAATTGCGGCTAATCCGAACAGTACTAGTGGAACAAGCTGTTCTTGAAATGGTGGAAGAAGATCCAGGTATCAGCTTTCGCAGATGAGAATATTAACAAGGAGTTCAAAAAAGCACTGTTAACCGGATCTTAAATCAAAGACTCCTTCGTTCTTTTCACGCTCAGCCCGTCCAGAAGTTATTGCCTACTGACCATGACTCACGTTTGAGATTTGTACAAAATGTATCAGAACGCTGATAAGTCATTTCACAAGAAAATTTTGTTTACAGATGAGTCATGTTTTACCCGACGTGGTTTGATAAATTTGCATAATACTCATATTTAAGCTGAAGAAAATTCGCATGCAGTCTCAGAAAGACATTTGCAATAGGATTTAAAAATTAACGTTTGGGTGGGGATTACTGATAACTCTTTAGTTGGTTCATATACAGGGTGGCGCATCGAAAACGAAACAGACGCATTTACTGGCAGCTCAGTTTTTTTTTTTTGAAAAACGCTCAGATCCGTCGATTTTGTTTTCGAGGGGGACACATGTTTGGCAAAAAATCACGTTAACACGTGCAGCCCCCTGGGCGGGGGTGACACCAACCCTAAAATCTTAAATGGAAAGGGGGGTCGAGTAATACCTTATTTTAAAGGCCTTTCAATTCCCTTTATAATGATGTAAAATACATAAGCTTTAGTTCAGTAGTTTTGAAGGTTTATTGATTTAAAGCTCAAAGTAGACTTTAATAGGTACATCAGATTAGTTGGTACTACTTTCAGAAGAAATTTGACTAAAAGAATTGACTTAATAAGTAAATACTTTTCTTCACTACGGCCATGGTTTGTTTATCATTTTGTTGTTGAAAACAGCTATTGGAGTGTTTTTTTGAGGCAAAAAAGTTATTTCTTGAAGAAAGATAAGGAAACATCTCGTACGTATTTTAAATAGGAATTTAGTACATAGTTTGCGATTGATTTGACCAAACTTTGTTGCTAAAATAACGTGTAACGCTTTATCACGTAAATTAACCATGGTATATTCCACAGCAGAAAGAGTTGAAATTATCGAAATATTTTTCGGAAATAATCAGTACGCTGATAGAACAGCTGAAATATTTAATGAGCGACATGAGAACAGTAACGTGCATCGACAATATGTTCCAGAACTTGTAGCTAAATTTCGGGAAACTATAAATAAAAAACGCAACATTGAAAATCCCATAAGGAACGAAGCAATAGAAGTGGGGGTTTTAGGGCAAGTTTATGTAGATCTCCTGCTGGTAGACCCAGTGTTGGTTGGCAAACAATGTACCACTTAAAGGCTTGACGATAGGATTCAGTATGTCGCTCTGATAGTTTGCCGCTTTTGTTTTCACGCCCTGTTTACAGAAATGTAGCTGAGTGACCCCTTCGTAGGACACCCCCACCAAACCATGACTGACGCAGGGTGGTGGCCTCTCTCAACTCTCGGAATGATCTCCGAAGCTTCTTGTGAACTCCTTGCATACACTTTGTCATTTTGTCGGTTGAATTTTTCTTCTATGGTGAAGATTTTCTCATCCGTGAACAAAATCTTTCGGAATCCCCCAGCTGCGTACCTCTCCAAGAGCTTCTTGGATCTTGTCGCCCTGATGTGTCGCAAGGTGGCCGTAAGTCGCTGGCCCGTACGTCTCCGGTAAGCCCCTAGCCCTAGGTCTTGTTTAATGATGCGCGACATCGTCCGGACAGGAATCTTCATTTCCCTGGATAGGATCTTCTGCTTCCGGAGTGGATTAAGTACCCGCAATTGGAGACTGTGTGTGGTGTTAGTCGACGTACTGTCCAACGGATTCTAAAGGCCCATAGTTTTCATCATATAACATTCACCTGGTACAAGAACTTAATGAAGACGGTTTTTGATCGGCGATTACAATCTTGTGAAAATATGAGTGAACGAATTATAAACGATGAACATTTTCTATTCAACACTTGCTTTTCCCACGAATTTTCATTTTTCTTAAATGGCGTAGTAAATCGTCATAACTGCCGATATTGGTCCGATTCTAATCCAGAATTTATCATGAGGTTCATACATAGCTGCCACAAAAATTAAATGTTTGGCCTGGTATTTTTGTAGATCATTTAGTTGGTCCTTTTCTCTTACCTGGAAATTTGACCGGTGAAATGTATTTGGAGTTACTGGAAGACGCCATAGATCCTGCATTAACAGCCATAATTGAAAATCAGAATGATCGGCGGTACATTGCGAATAGGTTGATGTTCCAACAGGATGGTGCCCCACCACATTACGCATTACGTGTTCGACAATATTTAGATCAGACGTTTCCAGATCTATGGATTGGTAGAAGAGTTGCTGTTGAATGGCCCCCAAGATCGCCAGATTTATCACCTTCAGATTTCTTTATGTGTGGTCATTTAAAAAGCAAAATCTATGCTACTCAGCCAACATCATTAGAAGACCTGCGACAAAGAATTGTGAATGAGTGCCTTCAAATTACTCCTCAAATATTGCAAAATGTGCGGCAACGTTTTGACCACAATCTTTATTATTGCATGGAGAATCATGGTGGCCATTTTCAACATTTACTTGCCTAACGGTTCACTTCATTCTTCATTTTTAAATTACTTTGCTGCCAAATGTATTGATCTCCACTAATGATGATATATTAGTTTTATTTAAGCTTTAAATCAATAATCCTTCAAAACTACTGAACTAAAGTACATTAATTTTATATTATTATAAAGGGAATTGATGGACGTTTAAAATAAGGTATCACTCGACCCCCCTTTCCATTTAAGATTTTGGGGGTGGTGTCACCCCCGCGTAGGGGGCTGCACGTGCTAACGTGATTTTTTTCCAAACTTGTGTCCCCCTCGAAAACAAAATCGACGGGTCTGAGCGTTTTTAAAAAAAAATGAGCTGACAGTAAATGCGTCTGTTTCGTTTTCGATGCGTCACCCTCTATGTTGCCTGATAAATTAACCGGAGGTAGATATCTTGATTTTCTACAATACATTTTACCTGAATTATTGGAAGAACTGCCCCTAATGTAAGAAGAGATATGTTTTTATGCATGCTGTAAGAAATTACTTGAACAAGAAATTTGGCAGAAGATGGATTCGGCGGGGTCAAGCTCCGATTCAATGACCACCTCGATACCCGGATCTTAATCTTTGCGATTTGCTTATTTGAGGTGCATGAATAACAAAGGTATATAAGGCTCAGATAGACAACGCCAACTATGGAACAGGATTCAAAATGATCCAAATACAAGAACAATGACACCTCAGATATCACTGTTCGGTATTCTGAAAATCTTTGTCGCTCTCCGAATTTCTTAGGGTTTTTTTGCGTCTACTGTGTTATACTGAAATCTAATATGCAGTCAGTTTCTCTACATCACCCACAAGTGTTTTTAGAGAAGGGAGAACATGAAATATGAAAATCCCAAATTATAAGGATCTAGTGATGAACTTTTGAAAATTAAAAAAAAATAACAAATCCACTTTTTTAGAAAATATACTTCTTACGATATAACAAAACAATCAGACAATTCATTTGGTAGTCTTTTTCCGCTTGTTATTCTCCAGTTTCAAGTTTAATGGTCCAGTAGTCCGCCAGCATGTTTGGTGTCCACATTTTCCACTATAGCGCTTCTCCATCTGAGCAATTTGCTGGTGAAATCTTTCGCCGTGCTCGTCTGAAACTGCACCCAAAGAAGTCTAAATGGGAGTGAAAAACATGCAGCTTAAGTGACATATTGCAACTTAAGGTTTTATAAGATCGAATAAGTTCTTCAACTAGATATTTGTAGTTAGCTAGTTAGTTAGCTGCTACATACATTTTTGAAGGCATCCCATGCCCTTTTTTCCTTTTTCGAAAGTGTAGTTGTAAAGTTCTCGTATTTGAGGTCCAACGAAAATTCCTTCTTCAAGCTTTGCTTCTCTTATACACGAGAATTTCCGTCTCAAATAAAGGAATGCATTTCCTCCTATATCTAAGCTTTCACGAAAATTTGTATAAGCCCTAGTTTTATGTGGTAAATAAACTTTCTGCTGACCTACTAAGGGTTCATTAAGGCCATTTTTCTACCCGGACATAAAAAACAACAATATTTTGTGAAGCCACTCTGCAGTCCCGTGAGTAATGAAATAACTTTGAGATCGGCATAGATATTTCACTTATGGTCTTCGTATTTTACGCTGTGGAGTAATATGCGCATGTTCTGGTATGTTTCTTTCATATTTACAGCACGGCCAGCGGTAACTGATGGCCGTTCGTTTCCATTGAGCATGTGCTTTAAAAAGAAAACTTTGTCGTCATTTAACGAATAAACAAAGCACGTTTGCATAGCGGTAGATCATGTGCAATCTACTTATTTTGAATCTAAAAATACATCCACGGAACATTGTCAAACCCTGTATATCACTATCAGTAGCACTCCTAGAGGATAATTCGAGCCCCATCCTTAGCTTCCGTATCCAACCACTAAAGGCGTGCAAAGATACCACATTTTATTTGTTTTCCTTATTCCAACCTCATCAAACAAAGATACTGGACAAGGTGCAGACTCATAGCATACATGTTATTTCTGCTGTATTATATCTAAATACGTGGAAAAACTATCGTTGTGATCTGCAACTAATAATAATGGGCATATCTAAAAAACGTGTTCCATGATATTTACAAATAACTCTACAGGTAAAGCCTTAAGTAAGCATGCATCCCATCCACAATTTGTAGATATATTATTGTATGAAAGTATTGTATTCAATGTTGTGCCGTGTTCTGTGGAATTAACATCTGGAACATCTGTCATATAGTGGATATGTACATATATAACCATTCTATTAACCGAAATTTCATACTGTAAGCTTTTCTTTGCAAAAAATTAAACTCCTGAACGTTTCAACTAACGATGTTGACGGTTTTTGAATATAGACATATGTCCTGGACAGTTGATTTTTCGAGTTGGCTATGGAGTGCCTTCGTTTAATAGCAATAATTCCAGAATAGATTAATCTATCATGGCAGTTATTTTCATTGCTTTGTAAATTTTTAACAATTTATATCTAGAAATTATTTTTATTATTATGTTATATGACGTGTATATCACGAAAAACCATGTTACTCATTTTCGAAGGTCTGTCTGTCTGTCCGCTAATCCTTTGGCCGTCTGTAGCTTGGAAAGTAGGTACTTCTCAGATTTGGATGAAATTTTCGAACAAGGTTACTACTATGGCAAGGTTTATAATTTTTGAAAGTCGGTTTAGTGGCGGCAGAGCCAGGGGCAAAACCCTGAAAAATAAAATAAAATTCCTCAAACTCCGTCAGAGTTTCCTGATCATTTTTTTTTATTTTATGGTGGGGTTGAAATTTGGTGGTTGGGGAGTTATAGGGGGTGGGGGAGGGTATATGAAATTTTTTTATGTTAGTATATTTATACGCTCCCAGCCTGGGTAATCTATGCACCTATTAGTCATATGTACATCATAGATTTCCCCGTATATTTTCCTTTAATACAGAAATATTTTCAATGATTGTATTCCTGCTATCAAAGCACAGAGACAATCTAGTTGAAGCCATTTTTGAAATCACAATAAGATAATTTGATTGTCTTGAAATACCAAATAAGCTACTAGCCAAGAACCGCGGGACCTCTCTGAGCTGTAGAATAAGAAAAAAAAAACTTCAATCAAATCAAGAATCTGAGATACTGTAATTTGGAATTTCATGTGCTTTTATAACGTATTCATGACAGAATTAGAGGTCAGTGACATGCGAATAGAAGGGCTTGAGGTAAATACTAAATTGTCTGATTTTGGTAGTGAAAATTTTGAATTAAAGATATGTAAGGGCTTAGCCATAACATAAATTGATGATAATTTTAATTTACAGGTATTATAGGGTTAAAAAAAGGAGACAACGTTGTCCCTCTTAGCGATAAAGAAACTTGATCAAAGAAATAAAAAATGACTTAGAACTCTATTTTTTCCAAACGCCAAGCACGAAAAACCTTTATTATTTTTGAAAATCGGTCCAGACGTGGCGGAGCTACAGTACAAAAAACGAAAAAGCAGAAATCGCTCTTCAGAGTGAGGGAGGATAGATCATAATTTTATTTGCGTTGGTATATTTCTCATAGATTTCCGGCCGATGGACGTGCGTGGTACATCGCAGCCGGCAGTCGCTTCCACACTGCTGTGGCTGTGTGCTGTGAAAGCCAATCACGTCATCCATCTTCCACGTGAAATTGGTCTCAGCAACGATCGTCAGCAAGAGATGGGGGTAGCATATTTTCTCAGAGGGGAGTAAATTTTAAAAAGCCGGAAAATTGTATGCAAAAGGATGCTAAAAATGCAAATTTTAATTGTATTAGCCTGTTTGACTGATCGACCCGTTTAATTCTTGTTATACATATTTGTAGCAATCTTTCTTCTCCAAAACTGGCCGATTCGACCGCTCCTTTGTACCTAGGGTATACAGATTGTGGAAGAATCTACCTAAGGATGTTTTTCCCAGTTCCACTAATCTTTGGCAGTTCAAAAATTAGATCAACAAAGTTTGTTTAAACTCATCATAGCAGCCGCAGTGCCGTAGCATTTAGAGGGGCTATAACTCGTGCCGATGAACTGATGACAGCGTTGCCTGAGCAGTACAAAGTCAACCTATTTGACGCCACTTTTTTAGTCCCGATGGATAAAAATAGAGCCGGCTGGGAACATTTTATAAATTCAGTTTTATTTTTGTAAGTTTCGAATGCGATTGATTTTTATAACTGCAGACTCTGAAATTGCTTATCAACATGCAAGCGGAAATTTTTGTACACTTGAACTGAACTTGAACATCCTGTATCCCAGTAAGATAGCCATTCAGTACATAAGTTGACATGAACTTTTTTGTTTGGTTTAATAATATGTATCTCCTAGTAAATTATGAAAGCGCACGAAATTAAGCTTTTTCATACTATATACAGTGTTTTGATAATTTTGGAAGAAACTTGAAAATTGGAAACTGGCTGTGTACGGCGATGGTTTGTTTTTGTTATATTTTGACATTTAAAAACAGTCACTGGAAATCCTAAGAACGACGAAAAAACAGCTTATACCCAAGTGATCTACATATATAGTGCTGAAACTGATTTTACGCCAGCGAAAGGCAGGCTATTTCAATGTTTCAATGGCGGTTTTTAACCGAAACCAGAAATTCTGACATTTTTGAGTGCATATCTATTTAACGTAATTTTTTAAAGATATGAAACACTTCAGTTTCCTAACCGACAAGCATTTTGTTGGTAGAAATTCTCACCATCCTAGATTTGATTTGTAATACTGACGGTCCTTTTTCTCCCTATCTTAAAATGATACATGTCTCCTGGAATTGAAACTCGTATATAATTGATATGGTGAGAAATACCAACTACATTCGTACCGAAACAAAAAATAATTTATTCTAAATCTAGTTAGGCACCTATCTAGCTGATATGAAATACCTAACAACATCCATAAGTCTCGTTAATGGCTGCGCAACTTTGTGTTAAAGTACTTAAAATATCCAAGATCATCCTTACCTTTACACGTATGCTTGTAAATAACCTGAACATGAAACCTGAAATTTGTTTTTTTATTGGATGATCTCTACCTGCCTTTGCACATACCTGAAAGACAAATTCCAAATTACAGGATTTTGATGTTGAACTTCCAGCTTCTAATCAACCAATTTGTATTCAGTCGATGCAAATATCCTCCTTGACCTTTTCAGGATTTGTAATATTTTTTATGTGAAAATGGGTGTAGGTATTCTATTTTCTTGAATAACCATACACAAGATCTAGCTATGATATATGAAGCATTATTTATTTTACAATCTCATTAAAAAGATTAAGCATTGCCTATATGGTTATATATTTATAGGAAAGGTGAAATTAGCAGCATACGAAAGTGATTCCTTATGTAATCTTCTATGGCTGAGAAGAAAATACAAAATATTGGAAGCTTATTCTCATAGTATTTGTACTACATTTATAAAAATTCTCAAATTTTCTTTTTCGGCATTTTTATTTTCCTGATTACTGTAAGGCGTAAGAAAGAAATGTTTGTATGGGGTAATAATATTCAAACCACGTAATACGTAAAACTTTAAATAGATTTATAAGTGAGAAGAAATCAGCAAATCTACTTCTCTATCCATAGTTTTCTCATATTATAGATAGTGCATCAAGTGTCATTACTATTTCGCATGTAATTGCTAGCAACATTGACAAAAATAAAAAACGCATTCTTGCGTACTATTAACTGCATCATCATCTCCGCCAAAGGTTGAACGCTCTGCGCAAGCTGAACACTTGTAACACTAACAGAAGAATGGTTCGGCAGCTCATCATCGAAATACACTTGACAATATTCAAATTGAGCATAAATATTTCGATGAATTATTACGCTTCACCAATAGTTTTGCGCAATCTAATGCTCTTAGGATGTTATTGTTTTCCATGTTTGTAGTTGACAAGATATAGTAGTGCCAATGGACGAGGAAGTTCCGTGCAAGCGAAAATTTTCAAGTAAATTATTATGTTTCTGAAAGCCACATGATGCCGTACATCATGAAACACCAAGTAGTGGAGTGCTCTCGTAACCCAAGGAAGCCGACAAACTTTTGAGATTTTTACTGGAATTCCATCTAAAATAATACATGTATACAGGGTGACTTCGAAGTTGAGTCATTTATTTTAACAGTGAGTAGATCTGATCAAAAGAAATGTTTTTTTCCTTTAACATTTTTCTGGTAAAATTAAAGTAACAGAGTTATAGCCCTTTAGAAGTTTGAGTACCGCCCTGTCTCAATAATAATATTATGTGCTCGTGTTTGGCAACAACGGATATAATCCGCCTTATCCGTTCATCGCATCCGAAACAAAAAAGCGAAAGAATTTGAAACGCTGATCACGATGTTTGTATTCAGTCAATGTGTCAGTCGGTAACGCGTGAGTGAATAGTGGTGTTTGCTGCGTGGCTCAAACGAAATAAAAAATGGCACATGTTTATGCGAATCGGTTTCCCAATCGAGTGCAACCAACCCCTCGTGCCTTTGTTAATGTAGTACAACGGGCTCGTGAATCAGGTGACTTAAGAACTCACAGGGGAAAGCATGTCGGTGCTCCAAGACCTCACGATCAAATACAGGTCCGCACTGAAATACTTGTCGGGAGGATACTTTATAAAACAAGGTAACATTTTTTTTATTTTTTTTTATTTTTACACACATATTTTGGTTTATCTTCCTTCTACAATCATTATCTGAAAATTAATGACTCAACTTCAAAGTATATTAAAAAGTATATACGAGGTTTGTTCAAAAAGTGTCGCGAATTTCATGTTTAATCATGAATATCTATTTTGTCCCCTTCAAAGTAATCCCCATCAGACATTATACACTTGTTATAACGTTTTTTCCAATCCTCGAACCATTTTGAAAAATCATTTTTTGTGATCTTATTCAACTCCTCCTTCGATGCCGTCTTTATCTCCTCAATCGTGGCGTAGCGTCGTCTTTTCATGGGCCTCTTCAGTTTCGGGAACAAGAAAAAGTTACAGGGGGCCAGGTCTGGGGAATACGGTGGGTGAGGCATTATTGGAGTGTTGTTTTTGGCCAAAACTTCGCGCACAAGTAACGATGCATGAGCAAGGGTCGTTATCATGGTGCAAAAGCCAATTTTTGTTCTTCCACAAATCCGGGCGTTTCTGGCGGATTGCTTATCGCAAATTGCGCATTACTTGAAGGTAATATTCCTTATTGACCGCTCTACCCAATGGCAAGAACTCATCAATGTTTTCGTTTGTTGTTGACGTGCTCGGGCGTCCGGGCACGGGTATCATGGTATCATGTAAAAAACCTACAAAACGTCAAACAAAAACTATAAGATGTCAACTTGCAGACTAGGTAATTTTTAGGGCGCAAACACTCATTCCACGTTTGCTCACTAGGAGGGTTGTGAACGTCCATCTATGAAGGAATCACTCAACTAAACCACGCATTATTGGTTGCATAATTTTGTGAGGCTGAGTGTCTGTAATTTTTATCTCTGAGAAGACAGTTGGTTGAATAACAAGATCGCATCTGGCTGATTATGTGTATTGGTCTGCATGTGTATAAAATCAGTGATATTTTCTGTGTGAGAAAATCATTACTGAATATGCTGAATATGACAGGTTATTTATATGTTGTGCTTTCTGAAGAGAGGTTATGTTCAAAGTTATAAATTACGAAAAACTGAGGAGAATTACGGGAAATCATATCCGCGCCCGCGTTGTGTGTAATTACTGTTAGCATGTATATGGCTTGTAATTCGACAGTGTACAGTGAATATAATTATTTCTTATCTCTGTCATTTTTTAAATTCAGCAAATTTGTATATGTAATTTCCAGAGTGGATAAGAAAAAGTGGATGCGCATCTCAATTAAGTGTATTTGAGACAAGAACTCAATGTAATTACCATCAACACATACAACTTACAGCGTAGACCTCCAGTAATGCCATCTCAGAAGCAGATTTTACATCGCATCAGAGCCAAAGATTGATAACAAGCCTCATGACGTTTAGGCAACACGTACAACTAAGTGCCAAGTTAATATCTTGTAGATAAACCTACATAATATCAACAAAAACCACCATAATGTCAAAAAAATCGGCATAATGTCACTTTTCAACATACGTGATACCCGTGCGGAACGCCTTTCGTCGCTCACTTATTCTCGGCCCTCTGAGAACATTTTGTACCACCGAAAAACGTTACTTTTGTCCAAAGTAGCTTCGCCGTATGCAACAGTCGACATTTGGAATATGTCCGCGCTCTTCAAGTTGTTTTTTACACAAAATTGAATACAAATTCTTTGATAAATTTTTTGGAATAGACAAAAGTCGGAGACAAGCTAAAACACGTCCACAAACAATAGCTGTCAAAAACTGACTGAACATTCAAAATGACCGATATTGTCAACATTAGTGTAGGTCATGAGTACCAACATAACGCCACAAAAAGATCTAAAATCGAACATACGTAGACTTTTTGAACAAACCTCGTATGTTACAGTTGAAACTCGTTCTAACTTCGCGTTTTCCCTAATTGAAACTAAGGTATTTTTCACGAGTATCCATTGTGGTAGAATAACAGCTGATTATCTAGGAATATTTCAAAATTCCCCATATCGACTAATGACACATAACTGACGGATCCGTCAACGGCAGGAAGACAGAGCCGTATTTTGTTTTGGTTTTTGTAGGTTACGGGTCCATCTTGTACTTGATGAGAACTCCTTTGTTAAGAAAAGTTCATTTACGTACAAAAAAAACGCTACAAGGAGCGTAGAGGAAGGACGCCTATTATCGGGTACCTTTTTAAAAATGTTCAGTAAAACTTTTCTATTCATTCCCAAAAGTTAATTGGTTGACATATTTATTGCTTATTGTTCCTAGTTTTGTTTTACAAGAGATAATTAGAATTAAGTAAACACAGTTGCTGTTATTCAGAAAATTCGTAAATGGTGTCATTTCCTTAAATTAAAACAAGGTTGCCTAATATCGGGTAGTGTCGATTCCAAATATCGGGTGCCCGATATTAGGCTACAACTTCTTTAAAAAATGCAAAGTAGCAATATTAGCTATCTAAGATATTTTATTTTACAGTAAGACACAGGAAAATACAAAAAATAAAATAACCATTTCTCAATAACCAGAGAATAAAGTTCAAAAGGAACAAGTATTTATCCATCTAAACATAATTCACAAATAAATGATTTCTCCTTGCCTATATCTGAGCAATCTTCGTGACACCAACGCAGACACTTCTTGCATTGGACCTACTTGGATCCAGAAATATCTTCAGAGCACCAGTTGGAACAATAAAAGCATTCCACATCGACATAATCTTGGTCCATGTCGTCATCCGTGTCTACCAATTGAATGTCATCACTATCAGAACTGGTAGATGAGCTTATCTTCCTCTTTCTTCCTTTTTTCCTTTTGGGATCGATTTTTTATTGTTAACTTTTTCCTTCTCGTTTTTTAGTTTTGATTTATTTTGATTCAGGCTAACTTTTTTCGGTGTGATCTTTTTTCTTTTTTTCAAGCTCTCTTCTAAATCTGTATTATAAGGCGTAGAAGTGAGGATAGCTGTTGAACCACGTTTACCTCCTTTTTTAGAAGCTTCACCCGAACAACCTGGCTTTGGAGACTGATGTTTTGTCTTTAGGCTAGGTATAGGACAAATATCCTGAGGTACAACGAGCTTAGGTGTCGAAATGGGTGGTGTAGTTTCTCTTTCTTTTCTTAAGTTTTCAGCAACAGCAGGATCCACAGCAATCTGATTTCCGTCATTATCTCCTTCGACTGATTGTCTTTCATTTGAAGAATGGATGGCAAATTCGTCATCTCGGAAAATTGTCGGTTGGAATGGAAATATTCCACATTTTCTAAAACCATTCACTGCAATTTCACAACTCGCTGCTCTTAAATAGGCTCTTCCCATTAGTTCCGATATTTGATAGGAAGTTACAACTCTCCCTGGATTTGCTCTAAGCCATGTTTCAATTTCAGCAGGATAATAAGTTTTGAAAGGTGACATAAAGGAGACATCGAGTGGTTGTAACTTATTTGTAGAATGGGGAGGTAGGCAGATAATATGGACGAAATTATCTCTGGCAATGTTGATAACATCAATATTCCTTGAATGAGAATAGTGTCCATCTAATATCAAGACAACTTGTTCGGATTCGCTAGGTTTTACATGTAAAATAAAGTGCCTCAGCCAGTCTGTAAAAATGTCTTGCTGAATCCATCCCGATGGATGAAATCTGGCAACGGACCCAGGGGGAGCTCCATTTAGAAGCTCAGGCTTCATATTTTTGCGGGGAAACACCAACATTGGTGGTATGTAACGACCGACAGCGTTCATACACGTTACAATAGTTACTAAAGCACCCCGTTCCGAAGCAGTTAAAGCTGCAACTTGCCTTTTTCCTTTCAAACTTATCACTTTGGCATGTTTGTGTTGTACTGTAATACTAGTCTCATCAACATTATAGATTGCTGCTGGATTAAAGCCAACTTTTGGCAAAACGCTACCAAGGAGGTTGAAAAATGCTTGAACATTCTCTTTTGTAAAACCCTCAACACGGGCTGCAGAAATTCCCTGTGGTTTTCGCAAAGACAATTTTGGGTGTCTTGACATGAACGATTTCAACCATTTTTTTCCAGCAGCGGCACTTCGGCAAGAAAAAGGATGCTTAAGCCCATTACGTATCGCCAGCTGAAAGGCTAGTCTTCTTACATCTGACGCTCGGAGACCAAAATACCTTCTTTCCATTTCGAGAGCATACTCAACTAGTGCTTCTTCAAGTTCATTTGTTAAAGTAGGTTTTCTGCCTAATTTGATAGCAAGTAATGTAACCGGTTTCTTACTTATTACATAATCAATCAGTGTGCTTTTGGGCACGCCAAATGCTTTAGACGCCTTGAGAGTTCCCAATTCCTTGTTCTTAACTGCTTCTACTGCCCTCTTCATCGCTTCTGCATTCCATTGCTTTCTTTTTTTTGGAGGCATCTGTGAATAAACAGATGCTTAATAATTATAACTTCAATATAATGAAACAATATCTACGTCACAACATCAAGTGTTCCTTATATCGGGTACCCGATATTTGGCATCTTTACATGCCCGATATTAAGAAACATAACCTCAAAATATTACGACAATATATCTTAAAAAGCAAATCGAAAGGGACATTTTTCTAATCCTTAGTGGAAGGCTGCAAGCCTACAGAAGACATATGAACATAAAAATAAACAAAAACAGACCTACCTTTTCATGAAAACACCAATTTAGTTAACACTTTCAAAATATTCGTGGCGGATTCCACACACTTCCCGTGTTTGTGGAAAGAATGAAGGTCACAAAAACATATGATCGTTACAGGTTGCATTTAATGTGGTTCCTGTTACATGTTGGTCATTATAACAGTAGATGGCTGTAGTAGCTCGTCTAATAAACCGCTGCCCGATATTCGGAACCTACCCGATATTAGGCATCCTTCCTCTACTAGATTTATACCCGATTCATTATTGCCAACGTTACCTACTAATACAAAGATGACACTTGCTGATCAGCTGTTCACCTCAGTAGACGTCATAACGTGACGGATACTCGTGAATTTAGTTCTCACTAAATGCGTTTATTACAACTAGAATTAACTGCTGCTTAAAATATCAGAGAAAACGAGTTCTGACTAGAGAAAACGCGTTTTGTTAAAGTGATTCAGTCAAAACTATTTTAGACGAGGTTAAAATTCGACTTGCCTCTAACTGATTAGTTTCTCTTTATTAAGCTGCTTTTGATGTTTCTTTGATTAGGTACCTCAATTACTTGAAACTGGTATTGTCGCTATGACAGTACTGCTTATTTTGACATTCCTTAATGCTCCTTCGGTTCATGATAATTATTTTAGATTAATAAATATTTAATAATTAGGAATTAATATTTTAATAGACTATACTCATATTCTCAACCCCCCTACAAGTTTCTCTAAGATACGGATATCTTTGTTCTGTATCCCTTGGAATGAGAAATTTGCTTTTCTGGGGAGGTGAGCTGAGTTTAAATCGATTCCAAAACTGTAAAATTGGATTGTGCGATGGAAGAGCTAAGCCCCTCCTGGATACGCCCGTGACTCAATGACTTTAGAAGTGTTGCAAACAGGCCTATGCCTCGACTTTTTATTAACTGAGTGACCATATTCAGATATGCCAACGTTTTTCTTGGATACTCTCTTTTGCGTAAACACAACTTTTTCACTCAGCTTTTTTGGGAGAATAACTGGCTTATGCGAACAGATTAATATAGCATCTTCACTTACAGAACATGATATCTAGAACTTCAGGGAGAAAAGGAGATATATTCTAGAGGATAAATGGAAAGGATGTTTATCCAGAGATACAACAGATTTTGTAGGGTAACTTTTTTTAATAACCATGCAGGTTGAAAGAAGTAATAAAAAAATATGAACCAGTGGTAAGATTGGTCCGAAGAGATGTTGCAGAGCATGAAAAATCCTTCAAAATGAGATATTGTATACTCAACTTGCTGTAGCTTTTTATTGTTTATTCAAAAAATCTTCCTTTCTCTAATGTTCTCTTTATCAAAAAGTGTAGTATAATAGAAAATATAAAATAACAGCTAAAACTTTGGTAAACATCTGAACAGATTTAATCAGCGTAACGTTTTCGGAAAACCTGACCGCTGCAGCAAATTGGACATAATCACGAGGTATTATCTTGAAGGCTTAGCCTCTCCATCACTACTACTATTACTACTATCCTATAAAACTTTCCTGTAGACCGCTTAGATCAATACATCATAGTTATTTGAATATACGCGATAAAGGGTTTTTCCAATTTTAATGTTCAATTAAAAAATGGCGTCAAGCAGGCTGACTCTGCACTTCCCACGCAACACAGTTACCAGTTTATAAAGGATTATTTTCAGCACCAACTAGAACCTCTTAGATAAAAGTCAATCAAACAGGTCCATACAATTAGTCCAAAGACATCTTTCCATGCCCTACCGGTAGCGCATCTCCCCGGTCAGATGTGACAGCGCAGTTAGAACATAGGAAACACTGCTGTGGCGTTACGTGATCGGGAGCAATAACCGCGGCCTGTAGGTACGCGATCTATCTGCTGATAATATGTGTTTTTTTTACCTCTACAATTGTTTTCAAAAATGATACGGATCCTCTGAAACGTCAAAAAACGAAGTTTGAGCGAGTTTTTTTTTCTTTTTGGTCTTTTTCTCTGCCGTCACTGGACCGATTTCCACAAACTACAGAGCTTTTGAGTCGTTGGCATAGTAGCCACATTGTGTAACAATGTCATAGAAATCTCTTAATTCTCAAGTTATAGGTGGTTATAAAATTAACGGACAGACCGACAGACAGACCGACGCAAATGAGTGACATGGTTTTATTATTATTATTATTAAACAACAAATTTGAGTTGAGTACAAGTACTATAAACTCAAACACAAAAATAGATAATAGTGTACAGACAAAAGAAATATAACAATTTGACAATCTTAGCACTACTGAAGTAGACATATACAGAATGGGAACAATATGTTAAGCACTGCGGTGTATATCGTAATTGTTTTTGAAACTGTTGACGGATTCCGAGTTCACTACATAAGATGGAAGACTGTTCCATGCATCGAAGACACGGTTTGAGATGAAGCGCTGACGAGTAGAGGTTTTGTCATATAACATCCAAAAAACATATCTCCTTTTCGAATTTTTCTCGATTACAATACTTCCTCGCCAGTAGGCATGGAAAGTAAAATTACACAGCAAAATGTTTGGTATCGCTAGCTAGAAAACCATTCCTTCTACCCTTGAAAATAATTCCGCTGTGAAATCGGTCTATGGGTAGAATTGATGTAGAATCCATGGTCCCATGGATATATTTGACTGACTTGATCCATTCAATTCCTTTGTTACGCATGCTCGTAGTTAATTTTTATCTAAGAGGAGCGAAATTGTGCCAAATATAATCTTTTATGAACTGATGACAGCGTTGCATGGAAAGTTATAGTCAACGACCTGAATCCATTTTAATTAAACTGCATATATGGTTTATTAACAAATTCATGTGACTACAAGCTGTACTAGGCTATAAGCTCCTACAACCACGATAGATTTTTCAAAAAGGATTTTTTCGCGAGTCCACGGTGTAGCACAGTGCACTACCGGGAACGGATACTCAAATTTTCGCGAAGAACGGGAATAGTTGAAGACGGATGTGACGTCGTCCGAATGTCAAAAAATCACGTGGTACGGGTACCCGCCAAACGTCTGTGAGGTACTAGCGGGTGACAGATCTTATGTCAATTTCATTTAAAAAACAGGCATCTCAATTGAAAATTTGTCTTCGCAGTGCCCAAAATTGAGTTAAATTATTAAATCATAAATGGAGGAACACGTCCACCTGATTTTAAATGACGAGGGAGAAGGTCATCGAAGATATATCAACCGCGCTTGTCATATCAAATGATTGATTTTATTGATATATAATGTACTACATTGCACAAAAAACGATCGGTCTTTTTATTTCAGATTCAAACAAGACAGCCAAGTTTATCAAGGGGCTTAAAGCAAACATTTTGCGCAACATGCACCGTCTAACCACTAGTGGTGTAACTTTAAACTGTCAAAACTTCGAGAGGAAGGGGAAATTCCATCTGTTCCCGCTTCGGTTCACTACGGGATCTCGCGAAAAAATCTCTAAAATATCGTTGCGTCGCCATTGTGTCGCCGTTGATCGGTCACTTTCTCATCTATTGCCCTTGTACGGCTATCACATGCTTCCTACGACCACAAGACATTAACATGTCAATTTTTCATCTGCTTACAAGTGACTGAGAATTTTCATCGTCCGGAGATTACTTAATCGAAGCACCTTTGACCTGAATTCATGTCACCGTTTCAAACATTTGTAAGAAACAACCGCCATCACCATCATAGAAAGGAATTCATCTCTCTTTCGGCGGTCATCGCATGCGTATGCGAAAACTTCTGTGCCGTCACCGCTTCGTACAGGCCATGAAATCGATCATAAATATTTTAATGAGTACAGAATGTCACAAACAAAACAATATCTACTTTTACACTTCTTTATGTAAAGCTTGCTCTGTATTTGTATGTCTGCATTAGGTCAGCCCATTTGAATCAAAGCCCAGATTTTGCGCCCATATGAATTCACATTATCTTTTTGCTACGTGTCCATTATTACCAAAAATATCCTCCAACAAAATCAATCCATGCATTCGAATATAAGTTAAAAATGCCTAGATTCCGATGCAACGAAGCTAAAGTCGACATGTCCTCTCTATCTTCTACTTCCCTTCTTTTTTACTTTTTCCCTTCTGTTTTCTTCCTTTCTTTCTCCTGGACTTTGTTCAGCATCTGGGCAACTAGATTTGAGTGACCTATTGGACCGTTACACGCGTGGGAAGTGTCTTATAAACTTCATCCTCGTTTTGTGTACAATACTTAATATTTTAATATATATACAGAGTGTGGCGTAAAGAGTGGATAACCTTTAACCTGCAGTTAGAGGACATCATAACGATTCAAAAAGTTGAAAATTGTGTCTAGTAAAAGTTGCACGGTTTTCGAGTTTTTTGACGTTTTTCAAATTTAGAGGAAATTGCTTCCTTCACGCATGAAGGGTTTTTCTCATTCTTTTTTAAACATAAGTATTCTTAGATACATGTGTCATTAAATATAAATTGCCATTTCAGACCTACAAGTTTAATTGCTTTTTTACAAACTCATTAAAACTCGGAAAAAAATGATTTTTTTCCTCTTAAGTTTGACCACGTGTGGTGTGAATAATAACGCGGTAGTCTAGTGAATAATTGTCCTAAGTCATTGGGATTGCAAAATGATATAATACACCGTATTTCCTGCTATCAGTTCAAGGGATACTCCTATTGAGATAGCTGAGACGCCTACTTTTCCAAAGAAAATTTTAACTCAAGTCCATTGTTGTTGT